GGTGATGATGATGGTGTTGCTGGTGATGGTGATGGTGATGGTGATGAAGTTTGTGGTGATGATGCTGATGCTGATGGGCATTGTGATGGTGATGGTCATACTTCTGACGGGGGTGGTGCTGGCTGTGGTGGTGGTGTTGATACATGGTGGTGGTCATGGTGATGAGGCTGATGGTGATTGTGATAGTGATGGTGATGGTGGTGATAGTACTGGTTGTGATGATGGTAGTAGTGATAGTTATGCTGCTGCTGATTGTGATGACTATGATGGTGATGGTGACGGTGATGGTTGTGATGATGGTGATGACGATGGTGATGGTCATGATGCTGATGGAGGTGGTGATGGCTGCGGTGGTGGTGACGAAACATGGTTGTGATGATCATGATGATGATTGATGCTGATGGTAAAGTTGATGCTGATGGTGGTTGTGATAGTGATGGTGACGATGTTGATTCTTGCGATGATTTTAACGATTCTGATTATGATGATGGTGATACTTATGAATGTGATTGTGACGGTGATGGTGGTGACGCTGATGTTGCCGGTGGTGTTGCTGGTGATGGCGATGACGCTGATTATGCTGATGGTGTGGTGATGATTGAATTGTGGTGGTGGTGATTCTGACAATTTTGATGATGCTGGGGATCAGTTATGATGACTGTGAACGTGATGATGATGGTGATGGTGGTGATGATGATGATGTCGAGGGCGTCCGCATGATCGATCCTGAGGAGTGCGGGGGAGAGGTGGGGTGGAGGCGGAGGGATATTGGCTATGATGGTGGTGAATATAATGATACCGATGATGAATATGATGGTACATAATATAATGATGATGCTGATGATGCTAATGAATGTGATGAGAATGACGATGATGATGATGTTGATGCTGCTGCTGATGATGATGGTGATGGTGATGGTGATGCTTATGATGATGATGATGATGAGGATGAGAATGACGATTCGGATGAGGATGATACGACTACTACTACTACCACTACTACTACTACTACCACCACTACTACTACTACTGCTACTACTACTACTACTACTATTACTACTACTACTACTACTACTACTGCTACGACAACTACGACTACTACGACTACTACTACTACTACTACTACTACTACTACTACTACTACTAGTACCACGACTACTAGTACCACATACTACTACACTACTACTACTACTACTACTACTACTACTGACTAGCTACTACGGACTGGACTACTACTACTACTACTACTACTACTACTACTACTACTACTACTACTACTACTACGACTACCACTACTACTACTACTACTACTACTACTAATAATAATAATGATAATCATAGTAGTGATTGTGCTGAGAAGGATGATGATGATGATGATGATGATGATGATGATGATGATGATGATGCTGATGATGATGATGATGAACACGGTGGTGATGATGATGATGTTGACGATGATGCTTATGCTGTTGATTTTGATGATGATTTTGATGATGATTTTGATGATGATTTTGATGATGATGATGATGATGCTGATGATGCTGATGCTGATGCTGATGCTGATGCTGATGCTGATGCTGATGCTGATGCTGATGCTGATGCTGCTGCTTCTGATGATGATGATGGCGATCCTGATGCTGTTGGTTGTGATGGTAGTAATGATGCATCGGCAGGAGGACTTGGGAGGGACAGTGGGATGGATGGATGCTTGATGGGTGCCGAGGAGGGGGTTGCCGAGAAGGAGGAGGGTGCCGAGAAGGCCGAGGAAACCGTGAGGGAGGAGTGTGAATCGGCAGCAGGCTCTGCTCGACATCCTCTCCAACGGCAACAACCCGCTGAAGGCCCCGCCCCGCCTCGCGGGCTCTTCTCAGAAGCGATCGGGGAATTCACAAGGTTCGAGGATCCTGGGCCGAGGCTCGGTGAGTTAGTGGGGGGCGGGACGGCATCCATGCCCAACGCTCCGCGTGATCCTCGATGGCACGTCTATAGAACGGTGGGTATGGGTGCATCCCAGGCGCGGAGGGAGGAGAGGTGAGAGGGAGGGCAAGCGAAATGCAGAGACGGATGAAGACCCGGTACGACCCAGTACGGTTAACATTCTAACCCGAAGATGGTATCGTGGTAAGGATGATGATGACGGCGACGACGACGATGATGAGGATGATGATGATGACGATGCCGGTGGTGGTGGTGATGCTGAAGATCATTGTGATGTGGATGGTGATGGTGATGACGACGATGATGATGATGCTGCTGATGATGATGACGATGATGATGATAATGACGATGATGATGATGACGACGATGATGATGATGTGGATGATGCAGCTGGCGGTTATTATGATGCTTCTGATGATGCTTCCGCCAAGAGGTATGACGGTGGTGATGATGTAGATGATGGCGATGGTGATGATGATGGTGATGTTGATGACGATGTTGATGATGATGCTGATGATGATGATGATGGTGGCAGTTCTGATGATGATGCTGATGCCGATACTGATGATGATGCTGCTGATGATGATGACGATGACGATGATGATGTTGATGATGATGCTGATGCTGATGATGATGATGATGATGATGGTGATGATGATGATGATGATGATGATCATGATCATGATGATGATGCTGATGATGATGATGATGATGATGATACTGACGCTGATGATGATGATGCTGACGACGATGATAATGATGCCTGTGACAATTATCATGATGTTTGCCATGGTGATGTGGCTGATGACGACGCTGACGGTGTTGCTGATGATACTGATTTTGATTATGTTGAGTTAGACGATGGTCACGATGGGATGCTGATGATGATGCTGCTGATGTTGCTGATAATGATGATGGTGTCGATGATGACGATTATGCCGAAGATAACGATGGCGATGACCAGGATGCTGATACTCTGGAGATGACAGCTATTATGCTGCCGCTGTTGATGGTGATGTGCATGGCGACGAGGACGAAGACGATGGTAAAGAAACTGAGCAGGAATAGGATGACGAGGAGGAGTTGTATGAGGCGTAGGATTCAAGCATCGAACCTTGGAAGTTGTGGATCTTGTTCGCAATGTTTGGGTGCCTGGAGCGCTCTCGTGGCCGCTATAGCTGGTTTTCCCTTCGAATATCCCGGCCAAAACGCGCCCCTGAAGAGGTCTGGAGAACGACGAGAGGAGGAGGAGGAGAAGGAGGAAGAAGAGGAGGAGGGAGAGGATGAGGAAGAGGAGGAGTAGGAGGCGGAGGAGAATGCTGAGGCGGATGCGTAATTTGAGCAGGAGGGGGGTACCAAACAGCATCTGGGACTGGCGCTGTCGCGCTGTCGCAGCAGAAGCCGCTTTGAGCAGGCTCCAGGAGGAAGAGGAGTGGGAGGGGGAGGGGGAGGAGGACGGGGAGGATGGAGAGCTGCCCACGAGCGCCGTCGGGCCCCGCAGGTGGCCGCGTATTTGGGGGACATGTTCGAGGGGGTCAAGACGCTTGACTTCGTGGAGGGCACGAAAGGCTGGGACGCCCCGCCCTCCTCCTCGGGACGCGGGGGAAGCGAGGGGGAGGGGCACGAGGGAGGGGGAGCAGAGGAGGAGGGCGGGGAGGGAGGAGGAAGCAGGAGGAGGGGGAGGATGGGGGAAGATGAGGCGTCGAGGAGGAGGACGAGGAGAAAGAGGAGGAGAAGGAGGAGGAGGAGGAGAAGGACGAGAAGGACGAGGAGTAGGAAAAGGAAGCAGTGCCTCTGCGGCATCCTCATTTCCCCTGTTGGTCAGTCATTGTTCCCTTTCGCCCCCCTGTCCTCCTCATTTGCCTCCCTTCGCCTGCCCTGCCTTCTTGGCCTTCTTGTCCTCCTTGTCCTCCTTGTCCTCCTTTTCTTCCCCCCTCCCCCCCCGTTCCGTCCTATCTCACCCTCGCCCCCCTCATTCCTTCCCCTCCCAGAGCCTCATTGGCAATCACGGGGAGCTTTCCCAATGCCGCCGAAATCACCCATGGACCTCCCAGCGCCTCCGGAAGCCTCATCTACCAGTCGCAGTGATCCTCTGTCGTCGCTGTGGACGTCGTCGTCGTGGACACCGTCTTCGTGATGGACGTCGTCCTCGTTGCGGTGGACGCCTACGTGGCTTCGTCCAGAGCCCGCTCAAAATGCGCCCCCCGGATCCCTAGGGCCCATCCCGGCTGGCTCTCCGGGCCGCGCCCACCCATGGCCGCGAGGACCTCCACCAGCGCCCGAAAACCTTCGAAATGACGACGCCCATGACGTCGACGTCGACGCCGTCGACCTCGTCGTTGCCGTCGGGGCCGTTCGAGCGCCCGCCGCCCCGCCTGCTGCGCACCGGCAGGCCGGGCGGCCAGGGGGCACCTCGCCAAGGACGGCGAGTCCGTGCGGTGGCAGGACACTCCTCCACAGGGCCGCTGCTGCCCAGCCCAGTGCCAGCGCCTGGTCTGGGCGTTTCGCAAGGGGTTGCCCGGGGAGGAGGAGGAGGAGGAGGAGGAGGAGGAGGAGGAGGAGGAGGAGGAGGCCCTAGAGGGGCCTCAGCGGGCCCTGCCGCAGCCGCGGCTCTAGGAGGTGCACGGCAGGTGCACTCTTCTGCAGCCCCCGTTTCTTGCCCCCTTCTTGAATCAACGATCGGCCGACCGCCGGCGGCGGCGACGGCGGGTCTTGCCAGGCCCCCTGACGGGCGGCGACTAAGGACGGTGCGAACGATCGAACGCAAGAGGGCGGCGGCGACGGCGGCGTCGGCGCTTGCGGCGACGAGTAGAAGGACAATTGTACTTTTCGGGGGTCCGACAGTCTATTATGTGTATGCAGTTTTTTCTTTCAGTCGTCGGCGCCCAAGCCGCCGTCGCCGCCCGCGCCGAATGGGGCCTAGCAGTCTTCGGCGGCGTCGGCGGCGTTGCTCCTCTTGCGTTCGCTTGTTCGCTGCGTCATCGGTCGTTGACCGTGCGGTGACAGGACCCGCCATCGTCGCCATCGTCGCCGTCGCCAGGCCGTCGCCGCTGGCGTCGCCGCCGCCGGCGCCGTCGGCCTCGCGGCCGACGTCTTCGCTTCGCAGGTCTCTAGGAGCGTTGCGCTCCTCGGGGTTCTCGTCGCCGCGGCCGGGCGCGGCTCGGAAGGGACCGATCTTGCACGGATTTCGGGAGGAGGGCAGGGATAGGTTACCAGCCTGGAACATATCCCTATCCCTATGCTGGGCACCTCCTCATCACGATGCCAATCTTAGGGATTCCCTTATTTTTTGAGGGCGAATCCCTAAGATTATCATCGCCTTCTGGCGCGTCAATCTCAGGGATGGGGATACGTTCGAGGCTGGTAAATCGGGAGGCACCGCGGACGACGCTTCCGTCGGCCTCGTCGTCGTCGTGGTCGGGTTCGGAGGTCCAGGGAGCCGTTGGCCACTCTCTGCCTCTGCGGGCCCCTGCCTCGGGGCCCCTCGGGCCGTCGGAGGTCGAGCCGGAAGGTCCAGGGATCGACTCCAGTGAGGTTCCCGTCCTTGTCCGGCGTAGTCGTCGGCTGCGTCGGCGACGTCTATTCGCCATGAATCAGGAGGGGGAAAACACACACAGACACAATTAATCGTCGATTCCCCAGACAATATGGGAACATATGGGAAAATATGGGAAGTGGGGGGAAGACAAACCCAGAAAATATTGGAAAATATGGGGGATCCTGTTATATCTCTGTGTGTGTGTTTATTTTGTGTGTCCCAGGGGCCCCCTCAATGAAGCGAACAGGTCCTGAGGGAAACGTGTTTTGAGTTTGTTGTTGTCCGTCTCTGGGTTCCCCGGGTCCTCCACGGGGGTGCCCCGAGGCCGTCAGAAACAGCCCAGGATGAAGAGCCGGTCGTGGGGAAAGGGCCCAGGAGCCAGGGCCCGTTTCCCTCAGGACCCGCGGTACCTTTGCGCAAGGTCTGCGTCCACATTTTTCTTGCGTCCGCTCGTTCTGTCGTCGGGAGGAGGTGGTGGAGGAGGAGGAGGAGCATAGAGACTCAGGAGGAGGAGGAGGAGGAGGAGGAGGAGGAGGAGGAGGAGGAGGAGGAGGAGGAGGAGCTGGGCGGGCGAGCCGAGGACGACGACGACGAGGCTCTTGTGGCCTCCCCCGCGCGCCGTGGCGCCGCCGCGAGAGGAGCCGCTGGCGCTCGACGGCCCCGTGGAGGGCTACCTGGTGAGCTTGGAGGCCCACCTGAGGCGCCCGCCGCGCCGTGCCCTCCGCGCGGGCTTCTGCGGGGCTTCTCCCGGCGGCCCCCGCGCGGGCCCGCCGGGGGGCCTGCGACGGGCGTGTCTCGGGAGGGGAGGAAACACACAGACACCATTCATCGTCGGCTCTCAGGAAGGGGTGGGAAAATGTGGGAAGTGGGGAGGAGGACAGAGCCCCAGAACACATGGGAAAATATGGGGAATCCTGTTGTTTGTGTGCATGTATTTGAGTGTCTGTGGGCCCCTTCAGTGTCGCGATGGTCAGGTGATCGCAGGCATGGATCAGGGGGGCGTGGATTGGCGGCGGGCCCCGCTTCCATGGGAAGTCGCGGATCTCCGCCGCCGGAGGAGGCGGCACGGGCCGCCTTCTGGGGAGGGCACCGCCCCCGATGCATGGGTCTGGCGACCGCGCGCCACATCCGTGGAGCGCTGCTCCACGTCTGCGCGCCCCCGGGATGGGAGGGGGGGTTTGGCGGCAGAGCGGGGGGGGGGGGACCGAGGGTTGCAGGCAGTGGAGCCCTCCGAAGAGCAGCCACGAGGCGGAGCCATGAATTCTCGGAGTTCCGCGCGGAGTTCCTGGAGTGGCGTTGGGCCCCCCTGGCCCTGGCGGCGCCTCTGGCGCCGCCCCTGGCGCGACCCGCGCGCCAGCGAGGGGCGTTCAGCGCAGGTCCAAGCAACCCGCGTGACCGTCGACGGTCAATGTTTATGCTCGAGGCTCCGAGCTAAGGTAGTGGCATGAGGTTTGCTCGAGTTTGGGTTAGGTGTAGTGCTTCCCACAATCTAAGTGGGTCTTTTTGTTTTCTATGGACACTCGCGCAGTCTCACCCCTCCCCCCCTCTCCTCCTCAGGCACTCACGTCCTCCCTCTCCTCCTCCTCCTCCTCCTTCTCATCATCATCATCATCATCATCATCATCATCATCATCATCACCACGATTAGTCTTATTGGTTATAATAGTATGTTTAATCTCATTGATCTGGTTCTTAGTAATATCAGGATTTATCATTATTGTTGTTATATTTAGTAGTCGCATTCGCACTATTGTTATAACTATATTAATAATCATGAATTTCAGAAGGATACTTGAGTATTTTTGTTTTTCGTTCCATCATCATCACCACTCATTCGCTCACCCACTCTCACACCACTCACTCACTCACTCACTCACTGACTCACTCACATTCACTCATCATTCACTCACTCACCCAGCAGCACACCATGACCATCACCATCATCATCACCACCATAAATATCGCACGCGCACTCACGCAACCACTTATGCTCTCTCTCTCTCTCTTTCACACACACTCACGCACTCATCTTGAGGAAGTCTCGAGCGGGAGCCTCGTCTGTGAGCATTTTGCGAGGACGCCTCTGGCGGGATCCCCCTCCCTATGGGTCCCGCACTTCATGTGATTAAACCTATCGGGTCATCCTGAATCCTGTAATTGTTGTCAGGCGGGAGCCTCGTCTATCAGTAAACTGCGAGGACGTCTCAGGCGGGAGCCCCTGCATATGTTTCCCGCACCTCATGTTTTTAATCCGAGCGGGTCATCCTAAAACCTGTAACTGTTGATCTTTTCGGGCTCCCCAGGCCCGAGTATGGAGGAAGTCTCATGCGGGAGCCTCGTCTGTGAGCGAGGTGCGAAGAAGTCTCAGGCGGGAGCCCTCTCCCTGTGGGTCCCGCATTTAATGTTTTCAATTTGCACGGGTCATCCTAAAACCTGTAACTGTCGTCACTTTTGGGCTCCCCAGGCTTGAGTATGGAGGAGCTATCAAGCTGGAGCCTCGTCCATGAGTGAATTGCGAGGAAGCCTCAGGCCGGAGCCCCCTCCCTATGGGTCCCGCCCTTCATCTTTTCAGCCTCAGCGGGCCATCCTAATGCCTGCAACTGCTCTCGTCACTTTTGAGCTCCCCAGGCTTGCATATCGAGGAAACATTACGCGGGAGCCTCGTCTGTGAGTGAGTCGCGAGGATGTCTCCGGCGGGAGCCCCCTCCCCATGGGGCTCTCCCCGACGGCTTCGAGCTCCGGCCATCTGAGAGGGCGCCCGTGCCGGAGTGCGGCGGCAACGGCGCCGAGGAAGGTCGACGTGCCCCGGCCAGGAGGTGCGGGGTGTGCACGTGGGAACAGGCGGGAGGAGGATCAGAGAGGGATAACGAGGAGGATGGCAAGGAGGAGGAGGAGGAGGAGGAGGAGGAGGAGGAGCAGGAGGAGGAGGAGGAGAAGGAGGAGGGGGAGGGGCCCTCATTTGGGGGTCTTCCCGTCGGAGTAGCCAGTTTCAGCATTTTGTTCTTAGGGTCCGAGGGTTGCAGCAGGAGCGGGTCCCTAAGGGGCCCCAAAGGGACCCCCCCAAGGCCTTGCAGGTGCACGCACGCAAGGCGCGCCTGTTTCTGCAATTCCCGCTTGCTGCCCCCTCCCCCCCCGCGGCGCGCAGTGCGAACTGGCCGAGCGGCCCTCCGACTTCGGAGCACCCGAGACGGTGTCTCATCCCCCCTTCTCCACTCCTCTCTTCTCTTCTCCTCTCCTCTCTTCTCTTCTTCTCCCCCCCATCCCTCTACTCCTGGGTGCTTCGAGCCTTCAGGCGAGATGCAAGAAAGGTCCTCTCCGATGGGCCGACGTGTTCCCCCCGGAGTTTTGCAGATCCCATCGGCCTCGCTCTCTCGCGCTCTCTCTCTCCTTCCCGTCTGGGCCTGTCTGGTGGTCTGGCGGCTATTGTTGCCGCCGTCGCCGCCTCTTCGCACTCTCTTCGCCGCCAGTCGTCGGGGTCTGTCTGGCGGTCTGGGCGGCGATGTTGTCGCCGTCTCCGCACCGTCGCCGCGTCGTCGCAGCCGCAGACTGCACAACGTCAATTGCACCACTCAGGGTGCACACCACAGGTTGCACGACATATTGCACTGCAGATGTTGCACGTGCACACACACACATGTTGTGCACTTTATGTCATACACACGTGTGTGTATCTATATATATATATATATATATGGTACAACCCATGTTGCGCAACATATTTTGCTTTTCGTAGGTTGCATCACATGTATGTCCTCACAAAGATCGCCCCATATACATTGCTAGAAACTCACTGTTTGGGATCCGCGCTCGCTAACACACGCACATCTGTAGGCATATGCAAACCTATGTACGTATACACAGAGACGGATATGGAGAGCCAGAGAGGGAGAGAGGGTGATAGAGGAAGAGAGAGAGAGGGAGAGAAACAAAGCAGATGAGAGACAGACTGAGAGGGAGAGAGAGAGGGAGAGAGCGGGCGAGGGAGGGAGAGAGAAAGAGAGTTAGAGAGAGAGAGAGAGCGAGTGATAGAGAGAGAGAGAGAGAGAGAGCGAGTGAGGGAGGGAGGGAGAGAGAGAAAGAGAGAGAGATATAGAGAGAGAGAGAGAGAGAAAGAGAGAGAGAGAGAGAGAGAGAGAAAGAGAGAGAGAGAGAGAGAGAGAAAGAGAGAGAAAGAGAGGGAGAAACAGACATGAGAGGGAGCAGGGGGGAGCAGAGGCACGGGGAAGGCGGACGGGGACCGTGAGCGACCGAGGCGGAGGGGGGATGGGCCCGCGAGGCGCGGGGCGCGAGGGCTGCTGGCGCGGGGCCTCGGCTCGGCGCGGGGGGCCGCGCCCCAGGCCCCCCCTCGGGGGTGGACAGAACCCCCCACGCTGACACGTCGATTCGTGAATTCCAGGAGGAGAAAAAACACACAGACACAATTAATCGTGGATTCCCAGAAAATATGGGACAATATGGGCAGTGGGGGAGAAGACAGAAACCCAGAACATTTGTGTGTATGTATTTGTGTGTCCCAGGGCCCCTTCAGAATTGTGCGTTTTCGGTTCTCGAGAGGGAGGCGCAGCCGTCATTTTCCAGGCTCGCGCCCGCCAGTCTTGGGCCCCGGGGTCGTTCTCGCCAAGAACTGCGTTTTGCGAAGGGGGTTTCTGCCCAGCCCCGACCCACCCCCACCCCCTTTCGCTGCCGGAGGAGCGTGCTCCGTGAGATCACGGAGACGGCGCGGGCGGCGGCCGACAACTGGGACGCCGCGGGGGGCGGACGACGGCGGCGGCGGCGACGGCGGCGCCAGCGGCGAGTCTGTTTCTTTGCGAAGGCCTCACGGCCGGTGCCGCCGACCCTGAAGGGGGGCGACGATGAAGACAGCGACGAGGAAGCTGTTCCAAACGTTCGGGAATGGGAGGGAGGAGGAAAGGGGGACGGAGGAGGTCAAGGGGAAGGGGGAGAGGAGGGAGGAGGGAAGACAATCAGTTGGAGGAAGGATGATGAGCCGGACGGAGGAGGAGTCGCCATGGATTCGCCGCCTACCAGGATGGGGCTGGTGTGTCGCCTCCAAGGCAAAGGGCAGCGCGGCAACCACTTTACCGTGTATACACCGTCGGGCTGCCGACGACAACGACGCTGACGTGGGTCAGAGCCATCAGGGATGCTTCTTGGGGTGTGGTCGAAACGCTCTTGTGGGCCTCGGTGGATAGTGTAGGGGTCTCTTGGGAGCCTCTTGGGGGCCCATTGGGACTTCCCGGGGGCCTCTCGGGAGCAGCTCGGGGCCTTTTTGGGGTGCCTCATGGTTTCTCCTGGGAGCACCTGGGGCGGAGGGCTTGACACGTCCGTTTTGGTCCGTCGTCTCGGCACCGTCTTGGAGCCGTCCTGGGGGCCTCTGGGGCCCTTTTGGGGGCGTCTTGGGCCGTCTCGGGACTCTCTTGGGCCGTGTTGGGTCGCTCGTGGAGCCCTGTGGGGCTGTCCGGGGGCGATCTTGGAGGCCGCTTGGGCCATCTTGGAGCGTCGGGAAGCGGGAGAAGCGAAAACGCCGAAATCACTTAGAAACCAAAGGACAAATTACGATTCCTGTTCTTGAGGCACTCATGGGACTGCACCTGGAGGCTTCGTTGAGCGTCTTAGGCCGTCCAGGCGTCTTGGACAGATCGTTCGGCGATCTGGGGCCCTCGTGGATTGTCTTTGGGAGATTTTGGGGCACTCTTGACCCGTCTTGAGGTTTTTGTTGCAGCCCAGGAGCCCCCGGAGAGGAAGCGTATATGACCCGGGCTCGGACCCGGGACCCCCTTTGGACCCCCCCCGGCCCAGACCCGTACCCAGGACCCCCCCCACTTCCCGGCTGGGGAGGGATCAGAGGGAAGGGGCCTCCCTTCGAGTGTATGACGACGTTGCTCAATTTAGCTTTGGCTGACGTGCTGAGGGGGAGAGCCCAGGAAAAGAGAGAGGAGCGGCGACTGGAACAGAGAAAGGAACATTCAGGGAAAGAGGACGACCGAGACGACGATGAACGAATGACGGCGACGACGACTCGAATGGAAAAACCCTCATACACGCCGACAGGGTCGGCGGATTGTGTCATATATGTATATATATAGACGTGTATATATATATATATATACACATGCGTATACGTTATGCAGCTGCCTGCGTCAGGTCCTGCCGCCGTGCCAGCCCAGCATGCTGGGTGGCGACTGTTCGAGGAAGGGGTGGAGAGCCGTGATGATGATGCTGCTTCTGATGATAGTCGTGGTGGTAGCGGTGACGACGACGACGACAGGGTTCTCCACTATCCGAAGGGTCGGCGGATTCAGTGTTCCTTGCGGTAGCTGCTTGACTGTGTAGACCTCAGCTGTCTGCGACCTCTCCCAAGCCGGGCGAAACGCCCGGTGCGTGCATACAGCTGCAGCCACGCGCGGATCTCGAGAGGGGGCTGGCGAAGGGGGTGGGCTTCGGCAGGAGGTGGACAAGAAGCGCGAGGACTGGCTGGAGGACGCCACCCCCGCCCCCTCCAGCGCGCCCCGGCGCGGGCCCGCGCGCCTTGGCACGTCGTACGTCGTCGATCGCTCGCTCGCTCGGTCGGTCGATCATCGTCGTCGTTGTTGTCGTCAATCACGTCGTGATCTCTGTCGATCGCGTCGTCGTCGTCGTTGTCGTTGGCGTCGTTGTCGATCGCTCGCGCCTCGTCGCCGTCGTCGATCGACCGATCCATCGGTTGGGGATCGATCGATCGAGGCCAAATAATGTTGTTGGACGCTTCTAGGCTTCGCATGGTGCTCCTGGGGCGTCTCGGGACCTCCGTGAGCTCCAGACTCCACAGGCCTCCGGATACCTCCAGACGTCGTCGCTCGTGGTCGTGGTGGTGGTGGCCGTCGTGGCTTGAGGCTCGAGGCTCGACGTGGCGCGGTGGCGAGTGGCGAGCCTGGACCTCGCGTGGCCCTTCACCGGAGCCTCCGAGGGTCCCAGAAGTCCTGGCGGTTTGGGCGATTCCGTGCGGGTGTCGTCGGATTCGATCGACGTCTGGACAACATCAGGACGACGCTCCCGGCGACAGGGTAGCGATGGGTGGTCGAAATCTGGACGACATCTGGTCGACGTCGCACTTCTGATGGGGCCGCGGAGGTCCACAGGGGCTCCCATGAAGGCCCACCCGCATGGGCCTGCCGTCCAACTTGAAGTCGGGCCTGCCCCTCTACAGGAGGAGTTCAAAAATAGCAAAAACTCGTCAGGGGACGATTTTTGAAGTATTTTAAATCATATTTGTGAATATTTGTTTGGAATATTTTTAATGTTGCATCCAATTTCCGCCTGTAGGGGGCTGGTCGCGCTTCTGTGCCCCCCCCCCCGGTGTGTGGGGCGAGAGCGGGCGGCACCCTCGTGGCAGCAGGGCAGAGTGCTGCACTGAGGCCCTCCGTGGCGGTTTTTTGGCCTCGGCCGTGGCGGCGATCGCGGGTGCGGATGGAGGAGGGAGGAGATGGAGCACGAGGGAGGAGGAGGACAAGGAGGATGAGGAGGAGGACGAGGGAGGAGGACGAGTAGGACGAGGAGGAGGAGGACGAGGAGGAGGAGGACGAGGAGGAGGACGAGGGAGGAGGAGGGAGGAGGAGGGAGGAGGAGGAGGAGGAGGAGAGGAGGAGGAGGAGGAGGAGGGAGGAGGAGGAGGAGGAGGAGGAGGAGGAGGAGGAGGAGGAGGAGAGGAGGAGGAGGAGGAGGAGGAGGAGGAGGAGGAGGGACGAGGGACGAGGGACGAGGGACGAGGGACGAGGGACGAGGGACGAGGGACGAGGGACGAGGGAGGAAGGACGAGGGAAGAGGAGGTCCCCTCAGCCCGCTCGGCGGCGGCAGGACTATCCGGCGCAGCTGGCGCTGCTGGCCTCGCAGATCCAGTGGACGGAGGAGACGACGAGGGCATTCGAGGACGTCGTGGGCGGTTGAAGCGCACTCAGGAGGGGGAATGGGTCAGCAGCGTCAATCTCCAGAGGATGTACAAGTGCCGATGCCGCTACCCTTTCCCCGCAGGCCCTCGCCACCATGGCTGGATTCGCCTCGAAGTCCTGACCAGAACGCGCCCCGGAAGAGGTCCGGGCAGTGCAGTTCGGGGGCCCCCGAAACGGTGTGGCGACCATACCGTGTGGTGAGCCAGTGGGAGGAGGAGGAGGAGGAGGAGGAGGAGGAGGAGGAGGAGGAGGAGGAGGAGGAGGAGGAGGAGGAGGAGTTTTGGGGCTCGGGGCGTTCTCCGAGGATGTCTCGGCCACTGGGGCCTCCAGTGGGCCCCAGGAGCGTGCGGTGGCGGGCCGCGCGGTGAGGTCCCTTGGGGGTTCGAGAGGCCGCCGCGCGGTCCGTCGCCGCGCGGCTTTGGGCCCCCCCTGGGCAAGAATGTCAGCCCTGGAATCAGAGAGGGAGGACCCAGGGGGCCCAAAGAGGCCCCTCCTCCTCCTCCTCCTCCTCCTCCTCCTCCTCCTCCTCCTCCTCCTCCTCCCAGGAGGTCACCACCACGCGGCCAGGGGTCCTCCCCCGAGGAGCTCCGAGGGCCGCCGAGGGCCTCCGAGGGCCGCGTCCTCCTCCCAAAGAGGCCCCTCCTCCTCCTCCTCCTCCTCCTCCTCCTCCTCCTCCTCCTCCTCCTCCTCCAGGAGGGGTCCAAAGCCCCTGTTCCCAGCCCCGTCACCCCGCGGTCTCTCAGGGGGGGGGGCGGGGAACAGCGCTCCTGGCGTCGATCGATGTGTCATTTTTCCCCCGCGTCTGCGGCGGCTGCGTGCGAAGCTGTGGCGTTTCAGCTGCGGTTGCCTGCCAAGAATTCCGTGATCGCCCGAGGACATGGAGAGCGGCAGCGAGACGGCGATGAGGCAGTACAAGCTCGTCAATGACGACAGGATCGAGAAGCTCATCAAGCGCGTCCAGGCCGGGCTGGCGATCAAAGGAGGGCAGGGAGGGCCGGAGGGAGGTAGGGTGAGAGAGAGAGAGAGAGAGAGAACACAGATCTGATTTCTTATTTATCGCCCCTCCCCATCGTTCTCCTCCTCCTTTCCTCCCTGCGCTTGTCGTGCTCCTCGTGCTGCTGAGAGAAAGAGGGGAGATAGAGAGACCGAGAGAGAGAGAGAGAGATGGAGATGGAGAGAGAGAGAGGGAGCGAGAGAGACTGATCTGAGGGAGCAAGCAATGACATTCCCACGATGATGAGGATGAGCATGGGGTACTTATAATCCAGTCATGTACACATATAATTATGTGTATATAAGCGTGGATATGTGATGATATCTTACATCGGATACGATGTACACGTATTTGTGTATATGTGTATGCGTATGCTTTTATACGTCGACATATACATTTAGGGGGAAAGACAAGGGGCCGGCATCGATGACGGATGACATTAGGCATCGCTACTACGCGGCTGTTCTTGTCCGCCACCGATCTTGTGAGACAGTGGGTCATGCAGGCTGGCATGGCCGTTGTGCTGCCTGGCTACTGCGTTGCCGCCTGAGCAGGAGGAGCATACGATGACGAGGATCAAGAGAAGGACGGGGAAGGAGGGGGATGACGCAGGAGCAGGGGCGAAGTGGAGAGGGACGAGGATCACCAGTGGACGACGAGGGGGTCATACGTGTGCGGGGCTCCCCGCCTGGCCGCTCATCTTGCCGCACGTTGAGTCCAGGGCGCACCAGGGGCGCGCCCACACCAAGGTCTCCGCTGAGTCGACGCTCTGAACCTGCGGGCGAAGACCGTCTTCGTGCTCGCCACAGTCGAGGGGGAGGTTGCAGCTCCTGGGAGGTCTGGTGAGTCTGGTGCAGAATCGACGCCAGGCTTCCCCAGGGGTATGATCCCGTGAGTAGGGTCTAAGACAAATTCTGTCAAGGTTGCCCACATTCCGATCTGGCCCAACCTGGTTGAATTTGGCCTAGTCCACTCTGATCCGGCCTATTTTGGTGCACAATCAGGGGTATTCTCGCTCAGCAAGAAGCCTTTGCCATTCGTTCCCACGGAGTCCTCCCAGGAGTTGGCTCCTGCCCCGGACATGGTTGTCGTTCGCCGTTCGCCGTTCGCCGTTCGTCGTCGCCGTTCGTCGTCGTCGTCGTCGTCGTCGTCGTCGTCGTCCTGGGGCTGCCTCCGAATCGGGGGTTCGTCCGAGGGGGAGGAGGAGGAGGAGGAGGAGGAGGAGGAGGAGGAGGAGGAGGAGGAGGAGGAGGAGGAGGAGGCAACCACCGCCTGGGGGATCGATCTTCGGGGGCCCCGGGCCCCGGCAGGCGGTGGCCACGGCCCCCCTGGGGCCCACACCTGTAAGTGTCCGCCATGCACCGCCTGCTCCCAGGGCTTCGCCCTCTCCCGGCCGCCGTGAGGCCCCGCCTTCTTTCGCCTGTTCTCTGCTAATTAAAGCTGTGCGCGTCCCGCTTAGCTTGCAGCGGAAGAGGTTCGCTGTCGCCCCGCAGATCAAAAGGAAGTGTCCGCCATGCGCTGGTGGCCCAGGACTTCGGTTCCCAACTTCCACGGTGGCGGGTGTGGATACAGTCCGGCCTCTCGAAGAAGAACAAAAACGCAGAAACATACTCTTTAAGCGCTCCTCGCGGATTTCTTGGATCCGCGCCTGGGCCCCCCAGCGGCGCCTCCGGCGCCGCCCCTGGCGCGCTCCGCGCGCCAGGGAGGGGGGTCCAGCGCGAATCCAGGAAATCCGCGCGGAGCGCCAAAAGTTTATGTTTATGTTTTTTTTTGTTCGTCAGTCTCGTGCTCCCTTCCTGGGATGACTTTTGTGCACCGTACCGCGCTGGCCTCTCCCGAGGCGTCGTCGACCCCCGACCCAGGAATGGCACGGTGCATGCTGTCCGGCCCTCTGAGCCGAAGCATTTGGCGCCGCACCGCGTTGGAGAGCGGGCCCTGAAGGGAGTCCAAGCATGGCACGCTGTACAGGCGCCGTTCGCGTAACAACCCCGCCTCGTACCCATAGGTATCTTTGGAATCCCATGTTGTTCCAATCTACTTTGAGCGCCTTCCTACTTCGATGATCGAGTGGCTTCCCCTCTTCCCTCCTCAGGGGCCGGGCGGAGACCCAGCAATCAATTTCCAACGCCTTTCTACTTCATGTTTCTACCTTTTCTTCCCTTACGACCGATGATACTTGCGAAGGCCTGGTGCCGCCGACCCTGAAGATGAGGACGCCGACCACGACGAGGTAGAGAAGTGAGGAGAAGCAGGACGAGCAGGAGGAGGGGGAGGAGGAGGAGGAGGAGGAGGAGGTGGAGGAGGAGGAGGAGGAGGAGGAGGATGGGGAGGAAAGGAGGTGCTTCTTCCCTCACGACCGAAGGGTACTCCCTGCCGCCGCCAGGGCGACCTCACGCCCAACCTGCGGGTGAAGATCATCACCATCATCACCATCGACGTGCACGCGCGCGACCAGATCGAGCTGTACGTGGCCCGCTCGCCGAGGGGGGGTGGGCGAGGGCACCACCCGCCGCCGCCGCCGTCGCCGCCGCCGCCGTCGTCGTCGTCGTCGTCGTCGTCGTCGTCGTCGTCGTCGTCGTCGTCGTCGTCGTCGTCGTCGTCGTCGTCGTTCGTCGTTCGTCGTTCGTCGTCCGTCGTTCGTCGTTCGTCGTTCGTCGTTCGTCGTTATCGTGTGTGTGTGTGTGTGTGTGTGTGTGTGTGTGTGTGTGTGTGTGTGTGTGTGGGGTGGGTGGGTGTGTGGTGGGTGGGTGGGTGGGGTGGGTGGGGGGGGGGGAGAGTGCCGAGGGACGCGCAGAGAGGAGGCGGAGGCGGCAGCCCTCCCCCAGTTCTTCAGCGTCCAGGGGATGAGGAGGAGGCGAAGGAGTCGGAGGAGGATGAGGAGGAGGAGGAGGACGAGGATCGAGGAGGTCTTCAGCGTGCGCAGGGGTTCGAGCAGACTCGGGGGTCGAGGATCGAGGAGGAGGAGGAGTACCGAGGAGCTTCGAGGAGATGCCTGTCGCCGCGGCAGGACGCAGCCCGCCGAACTTGCCAGGACGAACCCCAGGGAGATGTCACGGGAGCCGGTTCTGAGTGCTGACGCTGCCGCTGCTCCCCGCCTTCAAGACCTGCTCTTTCCCCTTCACTCCTCTCTCCCCCCGCCATCTCCCTCTCTCCCGCCCTTCTCGCCCTCCTCCCCCTCCTCTCGCTCTCCTCCCCCTCCTCTTTGCCTCCCCCCCTCCTCCTCCTACGCCCCCCCCCCTCCGCCACGCCGTAGAGCCAGTGAATTTCTGAATCAGCTTGCATGCTTGCTGCGCAACGGTGCCCCCGCTCCGTCCCCAGGTAATTGGACCGCGCTCCAGCGCGTATGTGAGCGTCCGCCTGTCTTTCACCCACCCCTCCGCCAGTCCCTCGTCCTTCCTCTACCCGCTTCCCCCTTCCCCCTGCCCCTCCCTCCCACCGCCCCCTGCCCACCCGCTCCTCTCCCCTTCGGGGGAGAAAGGCGGACACCGCGTCGTGGGGTTGGGCATGGATGGCGTTCTTCGAGGAGGAGCCGCCGATGCAGCGAGGGAGCCGCCCGGAGCTCCCCAGGGGGGCCTCCCTGCGCCCTCCTGCTTGCGCCGGTGCCCCTCGCGGCCTGCCCAAGCGGCCAAGCCCCTCGGACACCGACGCTGGATCACGAGCGCGGCTCCCCTATCTCGGGCGTTGCGCCATGGGGGGTGCTCTCTGTCCCAAGGACAGATTGTCGGACACAGGTTCGACGATCGGAATCCTCATTGTTTCTAGAAACTGCTGAACCTACAAGAAAGTTTGGGGCATGTGAATGCCATCCAGATTTTAATCCCTAGGTTCAGCGTTTGGAGAGTCCGACCGTTTCGCGTTCTGGCTCATGGGGTTCTAAAGAAAAGAGCACCTTATGTGCACCTTAGGGCCCCGAAGGGGACCTCGGGGGGCGGAAGAGGCGGCACGAAAGGTGCACGTTTCGTTGCACCCCTTCTCATCGCCCCCCCCCCCCCCAACTGAGCAACGCCCCGTACTTCCGTCCTCCCCTCCCTACCCTCCCCACGCCGACTTCGACTACGATCGCTGAGGGGCCTTGTAGGCCCCGTCTTGGACGTCACGGGCGCGCCCCGCTCTCGTTGCGGATACGGGCAGACGTCCAAGATCATGGACTCCACCGACTTCAAGTGGATGTCCCAGCTGCGCTTCTACTGGAGGGACCCGCCGCAGGGGACGATTTATTGCCTGGTCCTCGTCGTCTCGCCCGCGCTGCTTGCTGTCCCCTCAGGGGCAACGTCAGGGGAGGGGGTAGGCTCAAGAAGGCTTGCATCGACCCCCATTCGTTGATTCATCGCCGATAGGGTTCCCATGGCCCCACCCCGCCTAGGAATGTGGGGAGTGGCTATCGGGGACCTATCTCAAGGGAGGAAGACCACCCGGAGCGGACAATTGGCGTTTACTAAACGGCCCTGGGCGTTTACTAAAACAGCCCTGCCCTATGTGATGTCTTCTTTGGGCGCGTCTACTCAACGGCTTCGCGTGTCGGGGTGGTTATCATCGGGGTGGATTTTCTGCCCTCTACTATCGCCGATCTGTCGGCGATGTATCGCCGATCCCAGCTCGATTTTTCTCCCCAGAGCGGGTGCCCCCCTGACGTCTGCGGCGGCTTCTGCCGGCGTGTCAGCGTAGAGCACTGCGTGTGGCGGCCCTGCAAGCACTAGCTGGAGGGCCTTTACACGCGACAGCTCTCGCGCTTCGTGGCCTGACACTGTGGACTGGTGGCGCAGAGGTGTAGGCCTCCTTGGTGGGGTCGGAGCAGATGGGGTCGGAGGATGGCGCCGCATCGCCGATGCATCGCCGATGCGGCTCGATGTGGAGCCCGATGTCCTTCACGTCGACGGCGCCGATGCATCGCCGACGTCGACGCCTCATCGCCGGTGCATCGCTGATGCACCGCCGATGCATCGCCGATGCATCGCCGATGTATCGGTGATGCGGCGCGGTCCTCCGACCCCATCTACTCCGACCCCATCTGGGAGCCCTCTGAGAGGGCCGTGACACGTGACATGCTCGGAGGCCTGCAGGGGCGAGAAGGCCGTGACATGCGCGTGTTGTCTTTCGCAGGGCCCAGGGGAGGCGCAGTGCGCGACAGCTCTCTTTTTCTCTGCACCCGGTCTCCGAGGACAACAGCTCGCTGCACCCGTGCAGGGAGAGGCCGAGACGCGTCACAGCTGCTTTTTCCCCATGGTGCAGGGTCGTAATCCTGGAGCATGCGTGAGGGCACCCTCGGAAAGTCAGCATAGGCTTCGTGGCAGCCTGCTGGAGATCCTCCAGCCACCTGTGAGGGTCTTGCCGCCGTCTCATGGTGACAGTTTGGGAGGGACCCAGGGCCGTCTAGCGGGTGTCTTGTCGACCGCCTCATGGTCCAGGTCCGGGCCTTCTTGGAGTTGACGTCGGGCGGTTTTGGGGCGGTCTTGGGGGCCGTCTTGGGTCTGTCTTGGCTACCTGAGCGAGTGCGTGAGCGAATGGGTTGGCGATGGGCGGGGTGATTGAGTGAGCAGTGTGAGCGACTACAGCTTGCCCCCCCCTTACCTTCTCCTCCCCGCGCCGGCCAGCCGCGTCAGCCGCAAGCGGAGAGTGTATTGCATTGGAGCAATGTAGAGTGGATGAGGTTGGAGTGTGTTGATGCGGGGTGGATTGGAGGGGAGCTCCGTGTTGCGAATGATTCGTTGTGTATTGAAGACGGGAGGACATGGTAGATAAGTTATATCCTTGTTCTCGTCGTCGTCTTCGTCATCGTCCGTCTACTCCTCCCCCCTCTCCCCCTCTTCGTCTTCCTCTCTCCTTCCGATAGCTTCCCCCCCTCTGCCTCTCCTTTCCCTTGTTCTTCTCCTCGTCCTCCTCCTCATCCCGCCTTGTGGGTCGGGATAGGGATGGGTATGGCGTGCTCTGCGCGCGTGGTCAGGTGAGCAACTTCAGCAACGGGGTGTGGCCCTGGGAGCGCGGATCCATCGTATTTTACGTGTCCCAGGACAGGAAAGACGGCTCTGGCAAGGGGAAGACGGGGGTATGTAAAGAAGGCCTGATCGGACACGAGGGCATCGCGCGTTTCGAACGGGGAGAAGGGTGATGAGTGAAGGAGAATGGGGGAGGGATGATATGAGGAGGAGAAGGACGGGGAGGAGGAGGCGCAGGAAGTGGAGGGAGAGAGGGAGGAGGATGAGGAGAAGGGAAGGCTGCGCGGAGTGCTCGCGATGACGGCGGGCGAGCGTGTAAAGGCGTATATAGCTGGTGGTGCAGGGCGCGGCAGGATGCGTTGAGATGGAGTGTGCGGGAACTTGCGCCCCGCGGCGTCGTGCCAGTGAATCTCGGAGGTGTGGAGCAGAGTGGCGCGGCCTGGGGGGGGACCAGGCAGGGCCTCGGGCGAAGACAACTCGCCCCGTGGCCTTCTTTGGGCGCTCCCAGAGCGTTCCGAAACGGCCGCGGCGCCCGATGCATCTTCCGGCCCCGCCAGCCCCCAGGCATTTTCGGTGTGTGTGTGTGTGTGTCGATTCGAACTTATCGTCATCCTGCCTTCTTTGCCTCAGGGCCGCTCCAAACGTCCGACCTCGCGACGTTTTCGCAGCGTGGCTCCCCAGAGGTCTGGACGGTCTGGACCTCTTTCTGGGGATCGGCCCTCATCCCGAGCTGTTCTCTCGCGGCTCGAAGACCTTCCGTCGTGTTTGTTCCACGACTCGAGAATTTCAGGAGATGAGAGGCATCGAGGGGATTCCCAGGCACGGGCACGGGTGTCGAGTCTCTGTCTCGCGACGGGCGCTTTCGTCCTCGCGCCGTACCCCCCGGGGGCCCCTTTCGGACGTCAGTCGGGCTCGGGCAAGGAGGGCGTTGGGCGGGAGCGTCGACGAGCAGGGTACGTGAGGACTAGGGACTCAGACGGTTCTTGGACCCAACCCCTTTCGGGTCATGAAAAAAACACGACGGAGGTTTTTCTTTGTTGCCGGCCTCTTGGGGCCCTTGCCGGGCCTCGGGACCGTCAAAAACGATTCAGGATGAAAAACGGGTCCCAGGGAATGGGTCGCGACTTTTTGGGGGTCGACGTCATGAAAAAATCATGACGTTTGGGGTCTGGGGAGGTTTTCTCGCCACGGGATGCTTTCCAGCAGCTGCGCCTCGTCGAATGCTTTCTGGAACAGCCCGTATCGTCCCGAACCGCTGCCGCAGGCCCGAATGATGACGCGAAAGTTGTCGTCGCAGTTGGGCCGTCGGCAGCTTGATTGAATTGCGAGGAAGTCTCGGGCGAGAGCGCTATTCCTGGCTTTTGGGGCCTCTACTGCCAGGGCGTCTGGGAGGAGATTGTGAGGAAGCATCGAGTGGGAGTCAATGTCGTTGTAGCGTTAAGTCGGGCGTGTCCCTCTACATGAGAAGTATTCAAACACAGCAAAACAAATAATACAAACAATAACACGAATAATATCAATAATAATATCAATAATAATACTAATAATAATATTAATAATAATAAGGGGACGATTTGAGTATTTCTTGTGTATTTTTTGTTTTTCGTCCAAAACCCCCATGTAAGAGGACATGTTCGACCTAATGGTAGTGGTAGCGCCTGCAAGGGCCTGGGTTGGGACCCACGCCCGCGCTCCAGCGGGAGCTTTTCGCATTCAGAGAAGCATGCAGTCAGCGTCGAGGCCAGAGCAGTAACTCGGGCGTGTCCCTCTACAGGAGGACTGTTCAAAAATACTCTGGGAACGATTGTTTGGTTATTTTTTGTCATTTTCTGGATTTTTTGTGAATGTTTTCATTTTTCATCCAAAATCCACCTGTAGGGGGACATGCCCGATCTAACCAGAGCACTTGGAACCGTCTCCATGGATCAGCATTGTTTCTCCAGGCATGCGTAGTCAACGGTTGCCACGGCGTCGACGACGACGACGACGCCGACGACGACGACGAGGGCGACGGCGCCGAGGACGACGAGAACGACGACGACGAAGACGAACCAGGACGTTGACGACATCGACGAACCACGACGACGAACCACGACGACGAACCACGAAGACGAACCACGACGACGAACCACGAAGACGAGCCACGGCGTCGACGATGACGACGACGACGTGAACGGCGGCGAGGGGCGGGCGAGCTGGAGCCCGGACGCGGCCGGCCGGCGCCGGGGAGGCAGACGACGCCCGAGGGCGCGCCGCTCGTGTCGGTGACCCCCGAGGCCGGTCGAGCTGGCCTTCAGTCGGGCCTGTCCTCCTACGGAGGGATTTTGGACGAAAAATAGAAAGTACATATTCTAAAGAAATAGTCCAAAAACCGTCCCCAGACTATTCTAGACTATTTTTGAATTTTCCTCCTGTAGAGGGACACGCCCGTCTTAAAGCTGGCCGCCTTGTTGCCGCTGCCGCTGCCGCCGCCGCTGCTGCCGCCGCCGCCGGCTGCTTGCCGCCTCTTGTTGCTTGCCGCCGCTGGCTGCTTGCCTCCGTCGACGTCGGCGTCGGCGTCGGCGTCGGCGTCGTCACCGTCACGTCGCCATCGCCGCCGTTGTCGTCGTCGTCTTCGCCGTCGCCGCTGGTGTCGTCGTCTTCGTCGTGCCGTCGATGTCTTCGTCGCCGTCGTTTTCGGACGTTTTTGTCGGCAGTCGGGAGTTTCCTTGCTTCGGGGTGCGTTCCGGCAGCTGCGCCTCATTGAGGGCGTTCCAGGGCTGTCCAGATGAATTGCCGAGGGTGGCGCGACCCCCGCGAGCCCGCGCAGGCGCAGAAGACGTGCGCGATCAAGATCTGCGACTGGGCGCCCGTGCCTAGCGCTGGTCGGGCCCGTGAGAGGTGCATGATCAGGAGGAGGTGGAACCTTGCTGCTCCTCCTCTTCCTGCTCCTCCTCTTCCTCTTCCTCCTCCTCTTCCTTTTCACTCCTCCCTGCTTCTCCTCCTGCTCGTCCAGCTTTCCCCTCCCCCTGACGCCCCTGACTGGATCTCTTTCGCCTCCCCCTGGCATCGCTCGGACGTGTGCATTTTTTCTCGGCGAGGGCCATCAAGGAGCATCCTTGATCATTCGGCGAAAAAACCACGCACGAAACCGAAAAAAGCACAGGGAATGAACGTCCGAGCGATGGCCAGTCCCCGCCTGCTGCTGCTGGTCCGCCCCGGCCCTCCCTCGGCCGACGTGTCCCCAGAGCCCCGTCGTCGTGAGTTCGCTCGCAACGTGTGCCCCAGGAGGAGGAGGAGGAGGAGGAGGAGGAGGAGGAGGAGGAGGAGGAGGAGGAGGAGCCCCGGGGATCCGTTCTCAACGATCCGTTTCGTGACGATCCGTTTTTTTCTTCACCACGAGACGTTTCTCGACGATCCCAGGGGCCTGGTAGTGGCCCCCAGAGGGCGACAGCGGCCGAAACCTGTCTGTCGTGATTTCTCCGCTGCGCGAGGGAGTCTGGGTCCTCTCCTATTAGGCGAAGACCTCCGTCGAGGCCGTTACTTTTTCTCTGTTGCATGCGCCTGCGATGGCGTCACCCAATTGCTGCACGCGCACGCGATGGGCGCCCCGCATCGCTTTGCAAGATCGCTGTCCGCGGGGGCCGGGGCGGCGCTGTGGGGGTGTCGGGATTCCCTGTTTCCGCTGGCCGCCGGCAGCGTGGGCTGCTTCCTGCACCAGCCGTGGTCCCGCGTTCGGGGCTTCGGACTGGGCGTGTGAGAGGTGGGATGGTGATGATGATGATGATGATGATGATGATGATGATGAGGATGAGGATGAGGATGAGGATGAGGATGAGGATGAGGATGGTGATGGTGATGGTGATGGTGATGGTGATGGTGATGGTAATGGTGATGATGATGCTGCTGCTGATGCTGATGACGATCATGATGATGAGGAGGAGGAGAAGGAGGAGGAGGAGGAGGAGGGGGAGGAGAATAATGAAGATGATGAGGACGATGAGGATAATGAAGGGGGTGGTGGTGGTGGTGATGATGATGATGATGATGAAGATGATGAACATGAGGATGATGATGAGGAGGAGGAGGGGGAGAAGAAGGATGAACCTGATGCGGATGATAAGGATAATGAAGAGGGTGGTGGTGGTGATGATGATGGTGATGATGATGCTGCTGATGGTGCTGAAGGTGATGTTGATGGTGGTGCTGATGATGGTAATGATGCTGACGCTGGTGCTGATGCTGCTGATGATGACAGCGATGATGATGATGATGATGATGATGATGATGATGATGATGATGATGATGATGATGATGCTGATGATGATGCTTTGATGACGACGATGATGATGATGCTGTCGGTGATGATACGACAGTGATGATGGTGATGCTAGTGGTGATGAAGATGATGACGACGACAATCATGATGATTCTGATGCTGCTGCTGCTGATGATGATGATGCTTATGAAGGTATTGATGATAATGAAGATTATGATTATGGTGGTGTTGATGATGTCGATGATCGTTTTGGATGCTGATGATGCTGCTGCTGATGATGATGATGATGACGGCGACGATGATGGTGGTGGTGGATGATGATGATGTTGCTACTGACGATGGTGATGATTATTCTGATGATGATGATGCTGATGACGGTGATGATGGTGATGATGACGATGATGATGATGATGATGATGATGATGATGATGATGATGACGATGCTGATGCTGATGATGATGACGATGGTGGTGGTGATGATGATGGCGATGATGACTATGAGGATATTGGTGGTGACGATGACGATGCTGATGATGATGCTGATGCTGATGATGGTAAGGATGAGGATGAGGACGAGGACGATGACGAGGAGGAGGAGGAGGAGGAGGAACAGGAGGAACAGGAGGAGGACGAGAAGGAGGCGGATGATGAGGAAATTGAGAGGGGAGATGAGGAGTTTCTACGGAGAGAAACATGATGATGAGGAAGAGGAAGACGATGAGGAGGAAGATGTGGAGGATAAGGATGCGGATAATGATCAGGATGAGTATTATGATGAGGAGGAGGATAGGAAAAAATGTGAGGAGGGAGCAGGAGGAGGAAGACATGGAGGATGAAGAGGAACAATATGACTATGGTGGTGCTGCTGATGATGGTGCTGAAACTCATACTGATGAGATTGATTATGCGGAAGATGGTGCTGATGATGATGAAGAGGAGGATGAGGAGGGGGATGATGATGATTAGGATGAGGAGGATCAGTATCATGATGCTGATGATCAGGAAGAGGAGGGGGATGAGGTGGAGGAGGATGAGGATGGTTAGGAGGATGAGTATGAGGATGAGGGAATCTGTATATCATGACGATGATGAGGATGATGCTGATGCTGCTGATGATGATGATGATGAGGATGATGATGATGATGATGATGATGATGATGAGGGCGAGGATGATGATGATGATGATGATGATGATGATGATGATGATGATGATGATGATGATGATGATGATGCTGCTGCTGATGATGATGATGAGGCGGAGGGAGGAGGATGATGATGATGCTGACGCTGATGATAATGGTGGTGGTGGTGATGGTGGTGATGGGTGGTGGTGGTGGCTGTGATGGTGTGTCGATGTTGATGGTGCTGATGATGATGCTGATGATGAAGAGAAGAAGATGATGATATTGATGAGGATGCTCAGTATGAAGATGATGAAGAGGATGAGGATGAGGATGAGGGCGACGACAACGACGGCGACGACGCCGAGGAGGAGGATGATGGACGAGGAGGAGGAGGAGGAGAAGGAGGAGAAGGAGGAGGAGGACAGTTTGCGCGAGGCGAGCGCAGCTGGGGAGGGCGCCCGATAAAATCCGATCGCCCCAATTGGATCGTGCCGCTGGATGCCCAGGTCCTCCTCGGTGGCGGCCAAGAGGGGGGTAATGATTAGGGTTCAGTCGGGCCTGTCCCTCTACAGGAGGAAAGTTCAAACATAGTCAAAAGATAGTCTGGGGACTTTTTTTTTAAAGTATGTTAAAAAAAACTGGAGTATATTTTGGATCTTTCTAATTGTTCGTTCAAAATTGCCCTGTAGGGGGACAGGCCAGACCTAAGATTAGGGGGAGGAATATCATGGCGGGGGCCACGATATCTCCCCTGCTTTCATGCCCCCTTCTTCTTTTAGTACGTCGTCCCTGTGTGCCCCCCTCGTCTGCGCACACTCCTCTCCCTCCTCCCTCCATCGAAGAACAGCAAGCGGCATATGCATATTCTCTCTGAGCTCCGCGCGGATTTCTTGGATCGGCGCGGGTGCCCCCCTGGCGGCGCCTCCTGCGCCGCTCCTGGCGCGCCCCGCGCGCCAGGGAGGGGGTCCAGCGCCGATCCAAGAAATCTGAGCGGTTTCACAGAAATTGCGTTTATGCACAAATTCCTCCGCTTGGGTCGGACGAAGGGGGGGATTTGGGAAGGGGTTTGCGAACTCTGCTGCATGGAGCTGATTTCGGCCTCGCCGCTCAGCGGTTTCCCCGGTTCATTGGCGCTTCCGGCGCTGGGAGGCGCCGGGACGAACAGCTGCGTGAGCTGACTCGTTAGTGCAAGTCCCCCCCCTCTCGTCCGACGCGATGCATCCTCCCTCCACGCACTGGCCCCCAGGCTTGTCCCAGGCCGGGAAGAACAGCTGCGTGAGCTGATCCGCCAACCCCTCCTGCACAAGTCCCTCCCCCTCTCGTCCGACCCGATGCGTCCTCCCTCCATTGGCGGCGCGCGCAAGGGGGTAGGGGGAGGGGGGGAAAGGCTGCTTGGAAGGAGGCTGCTGCTTAGAAGGCGCCGGCCTTACATCTCGAGATAAGGCCCGCGCCTTCCAAGAAGCAGGGGTGCTTCTAAGAAGCCCTCCCCCCTCCCTTAACCCCCCTCTGCGCGTGGCTGACTCCACGCATCGGCCCCCTGGACCCCCTGGCCAGGAGGTCTACGGAATCACCCACCCTGCAGACAAACATCCGTCCCCGGACCTCCCACCGCGCCCCCCACCGCGCCCGACACCACCAGCATCCTGGCCTTCTGGCCGCATGTTCTTCAGGATTTGGAAAACCACGCAGACACAATCAATCGTCGACCCCGAGGAAAATGTGGGAAACTATGGGAAGTGGTGGAGAAGACGAAGAGCCAGAAAATATGAGAAAAGATGGGGGATCCTGGGATTTGTGTGTGTGTGTGTGTCTTTATGTGTGTGTCCCTGGGCCCCTTCAGTGAGTTCTCCAGGACGATCCAGGCCTGTCCCAGGGTGCGCTCTGGCCAGAACTCGGCGGCGGACCCCGCCGTGGCGGCGAGGGGCCTCTCGGGCGAGGGGGGAACGCCGCTCAGCGCCTTGAGCCTCGCGGGCGGAGGCCATGAGCTCTGGACGACGATCAGTGGAGAGGGAGCGTGTTGCCAAGTCATTTCCAGATGTCTGCAACATGTCTGAAACATGTGTTCAACATGTGAAAAAACATGCCTTAGACATTTTTAGAGCACTTTGCCGACACCGCCAACACATTTTGAATTCAGTGATCGGATCGTGAGGGTGTCCGCTGTCATGGCATCCACAAGCCGTGAGGGCACCCGGCCGTGGGAGGAGCTGCTCTCGTGCAGGTCCGGGATCTCTGGCGCCTGGCCCCCCACAAGGGCTCTGAGGACCACGTGGCGCCCTCGAAGGCGGGAGCGGGCTCGACGGGTTGTTCCAGCCCTCGCTCCCCATCCCTCCCCGACCCCCCCTCCCTCGAGCCTCGATCCTCGAGCCTCGTCCCTCGATCCCTGGTCCTCGCCCATCGCACCTCGATCCTCGATCCCTCTCGACGGATGGGCCTTGCCTCCGCGCCGAGTTCCGCCCGAGGTGACCCTCTACATGTACGAGTACGTCGGCAACAGCGGGCGGCTGGTCATCACGCCGCTCACTGACCGGTGCTACATCACTCTGACGCAGGCGCCGCGGGGGCTCTCGCGGAGGTCCTCGGCGGCTCTTCCGGGCTCTTTCGGAGGCCCTTGGTCCCTCCTGGTGGCTCTCGCGCACGTGTTTGGACGTCTTCGCAGGCCTTTGAAGCTTCCGGGTGGCGCTGGCGTTGTGTCTAGGCGCCGTCCTCGATTGGGAAGTTTCCGGACGCTTCGGGGCTCTCTGCCGGGCTCTTGGGAATCTTTCGGAGGTGCTTTGGGTCTTGGAGTTGTATTTCTCTCAGTGGACTTTGGCCCATGCGGGAGACAATACGGGAGACCATACGGGAGATAATGATGATGCGGTGATAGTGATGATTGGCGATGATGGTGATGGCGGTGATGATGGTGATGATGATGATGGTGGTGATGATGATGGTGGTGATGATGATGATGCTGGTGATGATGGTTCCTGCAACGCTACGTGAGACCATCTGGGAAACCATACAGCAGACCATGCGGGGTAGCCCACGGGAGACCGTACTGGAGACCACATTGGAGACCGTTCGGCAGACCACAGGGGGGGCAGACCCTACGGGGCACCACACGGGAGACCACGGGCCGTCGATTCTGGGGTCTGGAAGAGGTCACGCGTGCTCTGGGGAGATTCAGAAGACCCTTGCAGAGACGTCGTTCAGTACAACAGGAACTGCAGTTAAGTCGGCCATGCCCCTCTACAGGAGTGTCCGAAAATAGTCACAACATAGTCTGGAGACGTTTCTCCACACGTTTTGCTTATTTTGGGGCATTTTTTGACTGTGTTTAATTTTCCTTTCAAAATCCGCCTGTAGGAGGACATTCCCGACCCAAAACTAAAGTAGGAGCTCGACCACAAGAAACCTTCCACAAGAAGCCCAACTCTGAGACCACAGGACGTCCATTGATTTCTGGTGTGGGTGCGTCGCGCTTACCATACCAAGACCATCGAGACCCAAGAAACCCAGGGCACCCTGGAGGCAAGCAGGGTGTTTCTTGGCATGGGTTTCCTCAGTAAGCCTCGTTTGGTTTGGGGCTCAGTTTGAATAGGGCACTGCTGTTCTTTCTCCTCCTTGCCTCCTCCCGCCGCCTCCCCTCGCTGCCTCCGCTGCCTCTTCGCTGCCTCTTCGCTGCCTCATCGTTTCCTCTTCCCCCTCCGCCCTGGGTGCTGCTGACTGCGCCACTGCCGCCGCTTTCGTGAGCTTTGCGGAGGTCCAGCGCAGCGACGTCTTACAGGCACCCGAACGAGGCCCGGCCCTCCCTCGGCGGTTTCAGCTGCGCCAATGTCGCCACTTTCGTGGGAGTCCAGCGGAGCGACGTCGCACGGGCACACGAACCGGAAACACCGACAAAAATGGGTCCTCTGCGCGCACGGGCTTTTTTTGGAAAGCTTCGAGACGAGAGCGGCCGAAGGTCGCCGCAGGGGCGGGCGCGGGCGCCGCCGTGCGCGCGCGCCTTCCCGCCCCCCGCCCCTTCCTCCTCTCGGGGAAGCGTAAGACTCGAGTAAGCCGGAACTCGGGTTTGCCGACGTTTTTTGACGAGCGTGCCCTGGATTTTGACGGTCCAGTTTTCGTGGGATGTTTGCAGCGGGAGCTCGCGTCAAATTTCAGATTGGGCCTCTTCATTTTTACGATGGCCACGTCAGGCCAACCCGAGTCCCCCGTACCCGAGTCTTACGTCTCCCCGATCCTCCTCGCCGCGCCCGGCGCCCTGCGTCGCGGGGGAGGAGGGGGGCGCTCAGAAGTGCGGCGCGGCCCTCGAGGGGGTGTCCTCACAGTTGAACACTGTGGGAGTGTCGCGCGAAGCGTATTTTTGGAGTACCTTTGGCACAAGCGCGCTCGGGCGATGGTACTTCTGAGCGGAGGGGCGGGGCGCTCTCACGAGTGGGACCCGGGGCCGCTGGCCCGGGCTTTGCGTCGCCGCGCGGCCGTTCCAGCGTGCCCAGGTGTGATGCGCCGAAGCGTGCGCCCAAAAGGGCGCTCAAATGACTCATTCGCTCATAGGGCCCTGTCCACTTCGGCTTAAGTGTGCTGCCTATTGTCCAGCCGTCGTCTTTTTCGAGATTTCCTGGGAGGTCAAGCAGAGGGACGTCTTACCCACACCTAGACAAGCCTTCGCTCTCCCTTGACGTTGCGAATGGTGCAACTGTCGCCGCCTTCGCGAGCTCGGAGATGTCCAGCGTAGCGACTCCCCACTCCGACCCACAAAATAGTTCGGTCCTTAAGGGTGCTGCCAACTGCGCAACTTTGGTCGCTTTGTGGAGCTCGTGGGTGGTCCAGGGGATTAACGTCGCACCCAGACTTGCCGAGACCCCGCCCTCTGTAGGTCAACTGATCAACTTTCGTCGCTTTGGTGAGCTTGCGGGAGGTCCATCGGATTCACGTCGCACCCAGACCCCACCGAGTTCTCGTACCCCTTGATGCTGCCACTTCTTGACGCCTCGCGTATCCCCGCCAGCCCATCCAGAAACGAATGTTTGCGAGTAGCTTTGAGCCGGGACATCTAGGAGCAAACAGTGGAACAAAGAGGGTGCAGCTGTCAAACCGAAGATCGGGGTCAGCCTGAGCCGGCCCAGGAGTCAACCAGACATGCCTTCGCGGACGATATGGGCCTTGTGAAAGTTCAGTTGTGCCACATTTGGGTTCTCTCGGGCTCTCTTGGGGGCTCACATGGGGCCTTCGTGGGTAGGGTAAAACGGCGCGGCGTGCCCCCCCCCCCCCCCCCGACCCCGGTCGGACCCGCACTATTCGTCTCTTGGGGCCCTCCCGTGCGCTCCCGGAGCGTTAGTGGTTTCTTTTTTGGGGCCGTCGTGGAGCTGTAGTTATTGCGGCGTCAGAAGCCCAACGGGAGCGAAAGGGCGACAAGGCGAACGCACACTGAATGTCTTAGGTCTTGGACGGGCTTTGGACTCCAGGGGCGTCTTAGGTAGGCTCTGTGGCCACTTGGAGCCCTCTTGGTGCGGTCTTGGAGCATTTTGTAGCCATCTTGGGGTATGTTGTGGCATGCTGGAGGCCAACCTGGGGTATGTGGGGCAATCTTGGAACCAGCTTGGGTCACGTTGGACGCTCCAACGCGTCGCGACCCCTTCTTCAGACTTAGGGAAAAAGTGTCGGGGGACAGGTAGCTCTTTCTCTGAATGGGATGAATGATGCTGGAAGAACGAACTTGCTAGACCACCTATGCCCTGCGGCTGGAGGCGTTGCGCAACGGCCGCCACTTTCGTGAGCATCTTGGAGATCAAGGAAAGTGTCGTACCCAAGCCCAAACGAGACTTCGCTCTCTCTGGGTCGCGTCACCTGCGCAAGTGACTGTCGTCGCCCTACTGTACTCCGGAGAGTCCACTAGAGTAGCGTTTCACTGTGGCCGTAACGAGATCTCGCCACTCCTGGTTTCAGCCATCTATGCAGGTGTCGTCCGTCAAGCAGAGTGTTGTCTTATCTAGGCCCAGACGATACTTGGCCTTGCTCGGGTGCCTCATTGCAGAGATTCCGAAGGGACAGTGCCTACGGTACGATGGCGGATTTGCCTCCTCCTCGCAGATTGTTCTAAGGGCTCTTCGATGGCCGTCATCAACGTATTACATTGTGCACATGGGCTTTTCTCCTTGGTCGATTTGGCTGAAGTAGCGGTCGTGGTTCAGAGGCAGTGCATTGCCCTCGAGCTTTAGGTTTGCGCTCTAGCAGATTGCGCCATGGAGTGGCAGCTGCAGGTAGTTTGAGACACTTACTTCCTGAGGGATTTCACTACGCAGCGCTTGACTTTGCAGGGCCCAGACTCATCATATAACGAAATGCCATGTGCGGCTCTACCGCCAAGCATCAGTGGAATCGCGATTCCATAGTCCTGAGAGTTGGAGAATCACACGCCTGTGCATTTGGGATTTTGAAGCATGCTCGTCAAGCTGATTCATGTGACGAAATCTGAGTGCCGCGCCGGGTCATACAGGATCGGCAGGTTAGAAAAGTCACGGATACTGATGTGCAAAATTGTGGAATCTTGCCCCGCAAAGGGAGATTGGTTTGGGGACCGGTTCTAGAAACAAAGCAAGTTTATGGATTTCATCGTCAAGGGCGGCGAGGAATACCTTGCCATCGCGCGGTATTAGCCGAAGCGTCCCCAGTGCTTGCAGCAGCGATGGAGTCAACCATGCGCGAAAGCCAACGCCGGCAGTTGGAAATGAACGACGCGGAGCCACCCGCAATAAAGGCGGTGGAGTTTTTGCTTGATTTCTCATATTGGTAGATAGCCACATTGTTAAGGTGCTGGCTGAAGTCGCTGCAAAGCAAGTAACAGAACAGTCGGATGCGACACATGTCACATGTCTGTTCATGTCGCGAAGGCTGAAGACTTTGAAGGAGTCCTTGGCAGTCAAGCCTGTGTGGGATTCTCTCAGGGGCATGATCAAGAGAGACGACCACCTCATGAATGCTTTGATGGGCTGTTAATTCACAGGGCAAGAAGAAAGACATGGTACATACAACCCAGATGCGTGTTGCCAGGTCGGTGTTGCGTCTTTCATGTGTTTAGTGTTTCTTGGCCGTATTACCATCCTGGGATCAAGACGTCGGACGGACATCGTCGAGAAGTGCTGCGCGTTTTCGCGTGCATCGTGGCCCATGAACGTGGAAGTTGCTCATCGTATAGACATGCAGAGAAAGGCAACATCATGCTCCACGGGCTTCCCGTCACACCCAGTTTGCCTTCAGACGCGATGCGAGGCGCTACACAACTGCTCCCGTGCAACCCAAGATGGCCCAGCGTGGCCTCGAGGTTGGCCCAAGGCCCCTCGGCCGAGCAGTGGGCCCAGGGCGTCTAGGGCAGGGTCGACAACATGGGGCCAGAGCCGGCGGGGTGGGATGATCGCATCGGCGATGCGTCGCGGTGCTCCGATCCCGTCAGCTCCGGACCCATGGGCGACGTGGTCGGGGGTGGACAGAACCCCCAACAGTGACACGTCGATTAGTGAATTGTCCGTTTTCGGTTCTCGAGAGGGCGCCGTGGCCGTCAGTTTCCAGGTTTGCGCACGCCAGGTTTGGGCCTCAGGTCGTTGTCCCTAAACCACGTTTTACTAAAGGGGGTTCTGTCCATCCCCGACGTGGGAAAACGGCGTCGACTGCGTGCACGCGCCCCTCTTATCTCCACGTGGTCGTGCTGCGCTCGCGGCCTGCGCCGCCGTCGCTCACCTGGGCGACCCCCGGGCTGGCCTGGCCCACTATGCCCCTCGGGCGTTGCGTACTGAAGGGGGGGGGGGGCGATCAACGAGGGGTGGAGAGAGGTGCACTTTTTGTGCCCTGGCAGGGCACGAGAGGTGCACGTGTCCCCCCCCCATGTATCGCCCTCGCAGTGAGCAGCGCCCACTTCCCCCCCCGCGCTCAGGGTCCATCCCCAGGGGATGATAAAAGAGGGGTGTAGAGAGGTGCACTTTTTTGTGCCCTGGCAGGGCACGAGAGGTGCACATGTCCCCCCCCATGTATCGCCCTCGCAGTGAGCAGCGCCCACTTCCCCCCCCTGCGCTCAGGGTCCATCCCCAGGGGATGATAAAAGAGGGGTGGAGGAAGGTGCACTTCTTTGTGCCCTGGCAGGGCACGTGTGTCCCACCCCATGTATTGCCCGCACAATGATCGGGCCAGACGAAAGGGGGGATTGGGAAAGGGGGGGGTACGAAATCTGCTGCATGCAGCTGGTTTCGGCCTCACCGAGGGGCCCATTCCTAGATACATAGCCGCCTCCGGCGCCAGGAGGCGCCGGGAAAATCAGCTACGTGAGCTGATTCTCAATTTTTTTTTGTTTTATCTTTTCCTTTCGCCCGACCCGAAATGAGCAGCGCCCACTTCCCCCCCTTTGCTATCCCCCCCCTTTGCTATCCCCCCTTTGCTATCCCCCACTTTGCTGATTCTCAAACCCCCCCTTTGCTATCCCCCCCTTTCGCCCGACCCGAAATGAGCAGCGCCCGCTTCCCCCCCGCGCTCGGGGTCCGTCCCCCCCTTCGAGCCTGGTCGGCCACCCCAACCGGGCTCTGGACGCGGCGGCCTCGGGACGGGTCGGCCCAGCCACGGCAACGAATCACACACAGACACAAGTAATCGTCGACTCCCAAGAAAATATGGGAAACTATGGGAAGTGGGGGGGGAGACGAAAACCCAGAACATCTGGGAACGTATGGGGGAAACCTGTGATTTGAGTCTGTTTATTTGTGTGTCCCGGGGCCCCCTCATGGTTGTTTTTCTCTGCCCGAGTCCGGTTGGTGTTCCTCCTTGTCGACAGGTGGCGCCTTTGGGGCCGAGATCAGATTGCGAAGAGCTCCCATGCGGAAGCGAAAACTCTGAGCTTGCAGGCGGAATTCCGATGAGGGTAAGGTGCCGATGCCGCTGCCTTTCCCTCGTTTGAGCCTTTCTGGGGGCCTCCTGGGCGGCTCTCGTCGCCACCGCTGGATTACCCTCGAAACCCTGGTCGGAACGCACCCCGGGAGAGGTCCGGGGAGTAGCGGTATCGTGATGGGCCTATTTTCCACCACCAGCACCATAAGTTGGATGGGGGGAAGGAGGAGCAGGACGAGGATAAGGAGGACGAAGAGGAGGAGGAGGAGGAGGAGGAGGAGGAGGAGGAGGAGGAGGAGGAGGAGGAGGAGGAGGACCCCCTCCCCTCCAACTTACGGTGGTGGGGATGGAAGACAGGCCCATCATATCGGTACCTTTCGGTTTTCGCAGGGATCGCAGTTTGAAGCGAAGCGTCTTCCTTGTTTCGGAGTCTTTGCGCCTCGCGGGCTGCGGGTCGGGATGCCTCGCGTTCGCATCGAGACTCTCTCGGCGGCGCAAGCCAGGCAATACCATGCCCCCCCCCAAGATGATGGGGCACGGTCAAGACGGTGAAAGAAGTGCCGTTTCGGTCCAAGGCAAGGCTCTTGTGTGTCGGGCCGTTTCGTAGCCCTGGCACGGGGAGCCTGTTCGTGACCGAGGCTCGCGGTCGCTCCTCAGCCGTCGTTCTTTTGCCATTTGTCCTGATGGCAGCACAACGACTGTATGCCGCGTGCGACAAAGATCCCGCAACCGCGGCCTCGCAGTCGTTCCTTAGTCGTGGTTCTCGAGTCATGTGTCCTGATGGCAGCACGACGGCTGCAGGCCGTGTGCGACAGAGATCCCGCAGCCGCGGCCTGGCCTTCGTTCCTTAGTCGTGGTTCTCGAGTCATTTGTCCTGATGGCAGCACGACGGCTGTAGGCCGTGTGCGACAAAGATCCCGCATCCGCGGCCTCGCAGTCGTTCCTTCGTCGTGGTTCTCGAATCGTGTGTCCTGATGGCAGCACGACGACTGCAGGCCGAGTGCGACAGAGGTGCCCGCAGCCGCGGCCTTGCGGCCTGGGCCGCCCCTGGGCCGCGAAAGCCCGCGGAGACACGGGCGGGCTGTCGCGGGATGCCCCGCGCGGAACGTGGCCGTGCGGCCGCGCATCCGCGGGATCGCGCCCCGGAGCGCAGACCGCGAGGGCGAGTCGGGGCTAAGGAGACGGGGGTCGATGCAAACGGGGGTCGGCCAGCGCGCTCGACCTTGCAGGATCCTGCAGGGCCAGTGGCGCACTGACCCGCGTTTGGGTGCAGGATCCCGCAGGACCTTGCAGGATCCTTCGCATTGAACCAGGTTTGGGTGCAGGATCTTGCAGGATTTTGCAGGATTCTGCAAGGCCTGACTGACCCAGGTCTGGATTGACCCGGGTCAGACGGACCCCGAGCGTGGATACGGACCTGCCCACCGCTCGCGAGAGGACCGTATGGGCGCGGGATCGCGCCCCAGAGCGCAGACCGCGAGGGCGTGGATGCGGACCTGTCCACCGCTCGTGTGATGTCCCTAGGCGCGGGGCTTCTGCACATGGCCCCCCGACCCCCCCCGCAGAGCGCCCACTGGTACGCCAGCACCGATCCCGGCCGGGTCGAGAGCCCGGGCCCGTGGATCTCGGTGCATGCGCCGCTCCTGGGCCCGCGGAGGCGACCCACAATCCTGGGAGGCCCGCCGAACACTTCCTTGCTTGCCTCCCCCCTCCCTTCCGGGTTGCTCCCTCAACCCTCGGCTCTCCTGCCCCCTCCCTCCTGCCTCCCTCCTCCCTCCTCCCTCCCTGCTCCCTCTCTCCCTCCTCCCTCCTCCCTCCCTCCCCCCTCCCTCGTCCCTCATCCCTCGTCCCTCCTCTTCCCCTCGCCGTTCCTCCCCCCTCCCCCTTTCCGCCTTCCCCCCCTCCTCCTCCTCCTCCTCCTCCTCCTCCTCCTCCTCCTCCTCCTCCTCCTCCTCCTCCCCTCCTCCTCCTCCTCCTCCTCCCCTCCTCCTCCCTCCTCCTCCTCCTCCTCCTCCTCCTCCTCCTCCTCCTCCTCCTCTGGGCCTCGCTGGGGGTGGGGGGGGGGCGGGAGGCCCGCGTCCTTCGCCTGCCCCCCATGCGGGCGAGAAAAGGGTCCCCTCGGCCAAACGCCTTTCCCTCCTCCTCCTCCTCCTCCTCCTCCTCCTCCTCCTCCTCCTCCTCCTCCCCTATCCGGTTCGAGTCCGACAGCCCGCCGCCTCGCCCCTCGGCCCCTCGATCCATCGGCCAGCGTCGCCTGCGGCGGCGACGCCGACGAAACGGCGGCGACCTGGCGAGCGACGCCGGAGCGAGGCCCTGAACCTCGTCCTGGGGGGCGCCCCCGCCGGGCCGGCCGGCACTGGCAAGACGGAGACGACCAAGGACGGTCAAGCAGTGTCAAAGCGTCTTGGCTAGCCGATCGGCCCACCAACGAATGTTCTAAGACGCTTGTGTGGTCTGCGCGAGCTGTTCTTAGAACGGTTCTGGCTGAGGCCGTCTTCTTTTGAACACTTTGGGCTTCTGTTCCCAGAACCCAGTTGTTGCTCTTAAGAGGTTGTTTGGTTCTCAGAAGATTTTGTGGTAGGCCTATGAGAGTGCCAGGACATTCGATGCGGCCCCTGCTAAAGTGAGAGTGCGGGCCGCCGCCGCCGCCGCCGCCCCAGTCGCAGGCTTCCAGAGGGGTTCGTTTGACAAGGCTGGTTTCGCTGGGCTGGAGCCCCCCCCCCCCAGCCCGATCTGTGTCAGGAGGGACAAAAGCACACAGGCACAATGAATCGTCGCTCTCCCAGAAAATATATAGGAAAATATGGGAAGTGGGGGGAAGACAAACACCCAGAAAATATATAGGACATGTGGGGAATATTTGTTATTTGTGTGTATGAATTTGTGTGTGTCCTGGGACCCCTTTTGACTGTGAGAGGCCCCCCAGCTCGACCTGAGAGG